GACGTAGTGATTGCTGGTGTTGTCCAGTATTTCGGTATTTTGAAATAGAATTTCATGTCCAGCTTGTTTTAGGGCATGTTCAGCTACTGCAGATTTTTCTGGTTGTTTTAGTCTGCAGTCTCAGCCAGATCTTTATGCCTCTGGATTTGGGAGGCTTCCTCCTTGGAGGCAGATGCCTTCAAGGAGGAAGGTTGGGAGTGAGATCTGGTTGCCACTGGCTGCTGTTGGGGCTTTGTTGGAAGTGGAGGTTGCTTTTTGGTTCTTCTTCTGTTTTGGCTTTGGATTTTTTGGTGGAACTAGCATTGGGCTTGAGCGATTTCTCTTCTCTCATGCCAATGACTGGGAACCTGATGTCTCTCAGAGAGACTTAATTTGGTACCAATGAGGCTCTTATGCTTGATGGAATGTCCTCAGTATGAACAGGTGGTTGTTGAGTGGTCTTTGGTTCTTCTGCCCTCTGGTCTTCATAAGTTTTGTTGGAGAGGGAATCTACTTGGAATGCCTCCATCATTCTGTGTCTAGATGTTGTCTAACGGATTGTCAGGGTGGATGATGGTTGCTGGGACAAGGTGCCCACCACCTGTACTACTTCTTTTCCCAGAGAGAAAACATAAGATGGGATTGTCAGATCTTTATCACAACCTTCACACTATTTTGACAAAATGGACTATTCCGCATCTTGTTCCCCTCACCAAGGCAATATAAACAGTTCAAATGTCCATCAATGAGAGTAGTTTTGATGCCACATTCAACACACTTTCTGAACAGCCCTGCCAGGACCACAAAAGCAGGAAGGTCTCAAACACAATGAAGATAAATAGGCTTTAGTTAATGTTCTGAGAAGCTCCCTCATTGGCAGCTAAAGGGAAATGAGGGGTAACTGCTCAGCACAGGGGCGTGTGTGGGACACCCCCCCCATTCTAACAACTCTTTATTTTAGCCCCAGTCATCTACCAGTGTGTCAAAAACTCAGGAATGTCCAGCAGCATCTTGGGGAGCCCCAAGTTCTTTACTCCTGTTAGAAAAGAAAGGGATGGAGATGAACAGGCAAATCTTCACAACATTGTCCAACAGGAGTCAAGAACCTGGGGCTCCCCAAGATGCAGCTAGACATTCCTGATCTTTGGATATACGGGTAGGAGATTGCTGGAGTGGGAACTCAACATTACCTTAGAGGGGGCACACATTATCCACTCACATTGTATTGCAACATAACTGGTAAAAGGCTGAATATGAAAGTGGGGGACAGGAATCTTTCTCAGGCTTCAACAAGATCCTTGGTCCTGCATAGCTTTACATAAACAACTATTTCACTGGTATATAATGTCTTCAGAAACATTCTTTTCTGCATTTAAGCAACCACAATCTAGATAATATTGCCCAATATGCAACACAGACATTTGGAATAAATTTACTCAGTGAAATGCATTTTCCCTAGGCTATTAACTGCAGCTAAATCACAAGAAGGAGAGATTGCTTTGTTTGTTTATGGGCAGACACTGAATGCTGTCTGGAATAGTGAATATAATCCACATGACAATAAAAGCAACTGCTTGTGCAGAAAAGTGTAAGATACTTGAGACATGCTTAGTGTATTCTAATATTCTTCTAATGAGAACTGGCAGATAGAAACAGAGCCAAGCTAACAGAATGCGGTTATCCAGCTATTTGTTCAGTAGCTCATCCTCACAGATAATTTTTAAAGCTCTGGATATGGTTAATAATATGTACTCATATTGGGAAAAATCCAAAAGACAAGAGTACCTGCTTGTACTTTCCATTTGACTTTTCACATCAAATACTGAGTGGCATGCCAGCAATTGTCTATATTGCATACATACAGACAAACATGCATGCATACATATGCAAAGTATAGTAGATGTTACATTGTGCACGACACTGAAGGTTCCAGTATTGAGTCTGTCTTGTCTCTCCAAATAAAGCAAAAGCAAAGTGTGCTGCTTATATACTGCCCCATAGCGCTTCAAGCACTCTGGGCAGTTTACAAGTTAATTATGCTAGCTACACTTTGCCACACACACACCCCCCAAGCAGGATACTCATTTTACCGATCTCGGAAGGATAGAAGGCTGAATCAACCTTGAGCTGGCTATTTGGGATTGAACCCCACGTCCTGAGCACAGTTTTGACTGCAGTACAGCAGTTTAACCACTGTGCCACAAGGCTGGGATCTAATAGTTTCTTAGAATTGCAAAGCTGGAAGGCACCCTATGGATCATTGAGTTCAACCCCCAACCTCTCATAAATGAGTGAGCCTTCCAGCTGGGAGTGATACTAGAGTTCTCCATGGACAGAGAAGGAAGTGATATGTCAATAGTTAATATGGACAGAGAAGGAAGTGAGCAAGGGGCCTTCAGCAGTATTCTGGTGGGTCAAATTGTGATGCAAGACTAGCTTATTTCGTCAGTGGCTTCTTTCTCTCCATATCTGGAGAACTACTGGGTTCTTCTGCTCTAAAGTGCTTCAACCAAATGAAGTCAACTAGATGGCAGCTACAGAGAGGGCATTCTCACTGGCGACAATTCAGTTATGAAACAGCCTCCCCAGAATTCCACATGGTAATATCTTTAGTCTTTTCACTGTCTGCTAAAGTAGTCTGCCAGAGTAGACGCATTCTAGATGGGCGGTATATACATCTAATAAATAAATAAAACAAATAGTCATTCACAATGGAAGGGGGAGGGATTTGGCCTCCTTGGACACCTGGCACATTTTAAAGGGAACAAACACTGGAACCTGAGAAGAACTCCTAAAAGGGATATGGCCAAAAAAAGGTGAAGAATGGCTTTGCCAAAGAATATCTTATTCAGTAGGGCTTTTAGGACATTGTGCATATGGCAGAAAAAAGAAGTCTCTGCCCAATAATTTCACCACAGTACATTATAATCTTATCTTGCTTTTCTGAAATTGTGGCTTGTCCAGTTGGAAAGGAGATGCAAAACAAACGAAGTGGACATAACTGAAAACAAATTAAGGAAGGTGCCCTTAAAAGACAATTTTTACTACATGCCAATCCCTTTAGTGAGGGAAACATATAACCAAACCCTCCTCTGCCTGTACCCATGGCATACTTGATAAAGGACGGGTGGGTGGAGAGTATTATTTCAGCCATGTGGGTTTTATTAAAGGAGAGAGGGTGCTGTTTGTTTTAGCACAGCTACTTGCCTGTCACTCCACTGGGCCACCACGTGGGCGTACAAGGCCTCATTTGAAATAGCCTCTTTGAGTCTGTGAATGTTATAGGGGCAGGCTGTTTGATTACAGATGTGTGTTTGAATGTGTCCTATGGAATTCTTCATGGCACTTCCAACTAGTTCAAGCAAATAACTACTGTAGCTTGTTATCTGGCCCCTTTACTGTTCGCTAAGGTTTCTTGCCATCTCTACTTTAGCCATTTCACATTCCTTCATTTACTCCAATCCTACCCTCCAAACTCATAACTAAACTACACTACAAATGAAATTCTGAACCCTTGCAGTAGCAGAACTAATATAACGCCTATTTCAACCCACACTTCTCTCAATGAAACTAGAACCTGCACTGATCAATGTCACTAAGAACCAACAGGAGTCTAACTACATTCCTTTCTGCCCCATCTTCTCCAGTGGTGGAGAAAACAGGGCTAAGGAGCATTGGTTTACAGCAGCTGGTGCCCAAGTATGTAATTTTCTGCACATGTTTAATGACTTATCAAACTAGCCTGCAAACACAATGGGAATGAAGTTCCCTCCCCCTGTAGTAGTCCAGAAGTACTTGAATTCTCATCATCCATAACATCTGCATGCTGAATGTTCTTACTCTCACTCCCATTCTTTAAGAATTGCAGTTAGGACTGTAAGAACCAGTGCTATGTTGTTGTTGTTTTAAAAAACACCTCTATATAAAAACAGACTACTCACAGTTACTGGAATTCCACTATATTTCCATTTCCTCAGAACAAAGACAGATTCTATATGTTGTCTTAACAGAGCACACACTCTTGGAAATAACCCCAACTACACCTACAGTTTCAGGAATGAGTTCTCCCATAAGAATGTTACACAGGGTCAATGTCCTTCTTTCCATAGGAAGCCAGAGATTAGTTTGTAGTCATGGCATGTCTTTCTGGAAGCTGCCTCTGGAACACTTCTCTTTAAATAAAGAGGACCAACAGGCACTATGAAACTTCATTTAAGACAAATGTTGCATTTTCTTATTATCTTTTAAAGCTACCTGATCCTAGTGTTTTCAGTGAACAACAGAACTAGAGATGAACAATACACCACTAGGACTGTATATTTTATGTTTTTACTGTACAGATAATTATGAGATAAATTTTAAAATTCTATACTATTATGCAACTTATATACCATTTAAAGAATATTTTGTGCAAAGTGTGCTTTCACTACAACCTTAAGAGCAGTCATATAGAAACATTTAAAAACAAATTTCTCAAAAACAAGAGGAAATTCTGTTCTACACACTTTTAGAAAAGTTTACGTTTCTCAGCACTCCTAGCCTTTCTATTTAAGTTAGTTATGACTCAAGACTAATCAGTACAAAATTAAGTTTGTCCCTGTGACTTATGTCGAAAATGGATTGGAGATAATTGATTTTAAGTCTAAGAATTCTCACGCTAGGCAGAAAGTGAGGTTTCTCTTACTTTAAAAATATACAAACACAGAGTGCAAAAGTTACATGACCAAAAAAAGGAGTAAGAAGAAAGCTAGCAAAGTTTAACAGCATTTTTAAACATAAGCTTTACAATAAGATCCATCTTATTTGAAAGGTTCTGCACTAACTGCAAAGAGTACTTGATCATTTTGCTCAGAATTTCCTCGTAGTCCTTAAAGACAAAGGAATATTGTCACTTTCCCAATCCCCTCCTCTCATGGACCACAAGCCAGAATTTCCCCCACCGAGGGTGGAAGGAATATTTTAAGGTCCTGTTTCTCTACCCATAAACTTGTTAAGCAGCAGAACTACAAAGAGTCACTTACCCTCTTTAGCCACGTGAAGTGCTTGTAAATATCAATCTCACCATCCATGCTTTGGGCCCATTTCAGCAATTGTATAATTCCCTGAGTCCCGAGCAGTCACCGCTTTCTTCTGAAGAACAGAATTGTTCCTGCACTCCAGCCCCCAACTTGTTCTTCTCCAGCAAGCTGAACGGCTGTATATATTTGACTTGAAAATCGTCCCGCAGGCTCACTCTACACTCTTCTACCGGGTGTACATATACAACTGTATAAATTTCAGACTGCATTCCCCCACTGCCCCAGCCCAGAGCATCTGGGGTTTTTTTTAAGCACCGATCAGTCATCAACAGGCAGTAATATCATTCTAAAGGCTTCAAAAGATGCAGAATACCAGATGGTTTCAGGAATGGGGGGAACACAGCAGGAGGAAAATAAGAAGTCTCTGTAGCACAGCTGAAATCTGCAGTGAGAGTGTTCCTGTTTAATGGTAAAATAACAAGCTAAAAATTACCAGGCTGTCATACAGAAACTATTTTCAAGTAATGTCTTCCCTAGCTTTCTGTTTCGAGTGTGGCTGGAATTCATTACCCCAAGACCCTCTATTTCCTGTCTCTGTTTTACTCTGTGTTTATTGGAACACTCCTCAGCTTCCCAGTTTATTTCAGGCTAGGTCTCAGCCTAAAAATAAGTGCTGCTGTTTGAGAACTGCTAGTTACTCTGATCTCACAAAGGCGCAAATATTCTAGGATGACCCCTCCTCTGCCGAAAGCCAAATTTTCTGTCGTACACATACCGCTGTCCACATGAACTGGGCATGCTTACTAAGAGTAACAATTAACACTCACCAGCTCTGTAAGAAAGGACAATGCACGAGCACAGCAAAACTACACAAAGGAGCATTTTTATGTTCACTATAAAAATCCACTTTGCTTTCACTGTTGGGCTGCAGCTGCTTAGCACCCAGCATTCAAGGCATTGTTATGGTCACATGAGGACACAGTCAGTGGAATGGCTGCATCCGGTTCCTACTCATGGCACAGGCTGTGCCCCCTTTTTTTCTTTTATGCAACACCATTAGTTTTGGCTTCTGAGTCTTTCGGCATCATGTGCTCTGTGTGAGAGACCTGAGAAAAAGCTAGCAGGGAAAAACTGGAACGGAACCTCTTTCATGACTAACAGTCAGCTACACACCACACCACAAAAACGCATTGTGCTAGTTTCAAATAAACTCAAAGAAGTTTAAATCTTCCAATAATGTTTAAAAGACAGAACCGATTTTGCTTTGCACATACATACGGAGCTGCCTTACACTGAGTCAGACCTTTGCTCCATTTTGTTTAGTACAGTATTTACACTGACCAGCAGTGCAGCTTTTCAGATGTCTGGCCAGCTCACCCTGGACTAGGGTGGGCAAAGAGTGATTCATAGGCTTCAACCCGTTCCTAGAAACATTGGGGGGTTGGATGCAGACCCCCCCCAATTCCCCAGATTCTCACTCCCTAAAAATGTTAAAACATTTGCTCAGCAAGTCCCCTTGTGCCTTCTTGGGAGTGCGGGAGGCAATTTTTCTGTGTCCTGAGCTCCTCAAACACCATAGCTCATTGATATAGTTATCTTACTGTGGAGCCAGAGTTTGGGAATTTGATTCCTCTCTGTGCCTTCTTGACAATCACTGTGCCTCACCAGATAATCCATTAGGTCCATTCCAGCTCTGCAGTTTTAGGATTATTATTATTACATTATTATAATCCCCCCTGGGTTTTTTTTTACCTGTCCAATATAAGGCATGAGATGGCTTTTTCAGGTTAAAAAAGCTTTGAATAATATAAAGAATATATATTAGGGGGCATAATAGGGTGTGTGGCTCTTCCAAAGTCCAGAAGTCGGCGGTGTGTGGCTCTAGACCTCAAGAGGTTGCTCATTCTTGCCACAGAGACATCTCAGGCATGATCCACGTCACACATGTGTTTTGCTTCTGACATGCAGCCCCTTTCTAGCAGAATGCACATCATAAATTTGTACATAAACCGCAATCTATATAAATTGGGCTAACAACACTCAAAAGAGATTGTTACCCTTTGTATAACAAAATGTATTAGCTATTAGGGCATCCTTTTTTTTTTCAGACAGATGACTGCTTCACTCCCTGTACGGCCAATTTACTCCGGCAGGAAAGAAGAGTTGCATGTCTGTTCTTCAAAGACAAATTAAGGAATTAGACGTTGTCTCTCACAAGGGCTTTGTATTGTGTAGCCTTCATTTCACTGAATGGACTGAGGAACCTCATACTGTCAAACAAAGGTACAATACAGATGGCAAAAATGTTCGAGGGCACCTGGAAAAATTTTGGTGTTAGACTAGAGTAGCCAAAATCCTGCAGCCAGCCTAGGTACTGTCCATGTTAGCTGTAAAATGGGTTCTGGGAGCTGCAGCCTTTAAAAAAAGGAACTTTTCCAGGCCCTGCATAAGATCTAAACAAGACAAGAGAATGGACAGGCACTCATCATGATAATCAACTTGATGCTAAAGTTAGTAAGGATAGCTGAAAATACAAAGTAGGAAAAACAACTTGTACAAAGGGTCAAATTTGTATAAGCAGTGGGTCACTGATACTAGAACTGAGTTATATTTCTTAAATTTTAACTCAGCTTCCGCAACTAGCTTTCTCATCCTGCTGTAGTCAAGAAGAGTCATTTATATCTTAAATGAGTAATTTGGCATGTGCCTCAGGCTTATAATTTTAAACAGCAACTGCAGGAGGGTCTAATCAAATAAGTACAGTGGGGTCTTGACTTGAGAACTTAATCCGTATTGGAAGGCGGTTCTCAAGTCAAAAGGTTCTCAGGTCAAACCTGCATTTCCCATAGGAATGCATTGAAAACCATTTGATCCGTATCTGCTCTTTGCTGTCCATAGAAACCAATAGGAAGCTGCTATTCCGCCTTCGACCACTAGAGGGGGATATTTTGTTTCTTTTTTCTGAGGTCAAGAAAGGTTCAGGGAAGGCAGGGAAAATACAGTCCAGGCAGTACAGTACCAGGCAGTCCGAAGACTGTCTCCCAATCCACTCTCTAAATGCTGGGAGGAGTGAGGAAGCAGACAGGCACCCTTTTCACTGGCCAACAGTTAACTGAAAGTTCACATTTTGCACTTTCCCTGCCTCCCACGTGGTTTTTTTTAGTTCTTAACTCAAATCTAAGTATGTAAGTCAAGTCAATATTTTCCTATGAGAGTGGTTCTTAAGTCAAAATGTTCTTAACTCAAGCCGTTCTTAAGTCAAGACCCCACTGTAGAGTAGAGGAGATGGTATGTTTTATATGGTGAGTGATTCAACTTTGCTGTTATTTGATTGGCAGGCTGTACTGTGTTTCAAATTGCAGTCAGTGCTCACACAGAGGCTGCAGATTGATTTGGGAGTTCACTGTTCACACTGGATGTTACACAATTTGCATTCCAGTCCACAGCCCCCCTTCTTTCCTTCCTTCCTCTAGTCCCACCTCTGCAGATCCTTCCTTCCTTCGCTGGTCCTGCCTCTGCCAAGCCTTTGATTAGGTGTAAATATGGGAAATAATAACGAGGACCTAGCAATCAGATGGAAGGGTAATCTAAAACTAATCCCATATATGTAAGATTTTTTTTAAAATAAAAATTCAGGGAATGATAAAGAGAAGAGAAAGAATTGGGGGGCAATTTTCCCAGCCCAGAACATCATGCCCAAACTACCTACGTCACTGAAACATCACCTACTGACATAACCACCATTCCCCATCTTTACAAGAATGTATCACAACTTGACCACATGGAGAAAAGCCTGTTCAAATTATTACCATTCCAGCTTGAAAAAGTTGAAACAACAGAGGAAAAAAAAACCTATTTTGAGAGAAAAAAAGGCTGGACCAATTCAAATCATGTGGCCAGTAAAATAATACCTGTTTGTATAAGCAGAGCTTGTATAAGCAGAGCAAATCCCATGATATTTGACCATGTAGTTGCAGGCACTGAAAGTTTTAACTTGGTCAGTTAGCATTTTCTTCAGTGCCACACCATATTTAAACATACCAATTAAGTCCAGTCTCCCCAATCAAAAACATGTTCTCTGCTAGAACACTGAAAAAGTGACCATGAAGTTATACGGAAAACGAACACTCTCTTATTTGTCAGGCTAAACATACCGTCACATGAAACCAATGTCCATGTCAAGAGAAGAGTATTCCGAAATATCTAACGTACCTATTTCCAGTTCAGTGACTCTTTCTGGATTCCGTGCAAGTGCACCTTGTTTTTGTTCTTCTTCTTCTTCTTAGCCAAAAAGGAATATAGAAATCCACTGGCTTTTATCTGCCACTCCTGCTAGTACCCTATCGGTTAGGAATGTTGACAAAGTACATTCCACTGAGTCACATGCTGCCTGATATACCTGCGTCTTAGCTTTATGTCGTGGCTGAGCTTTGTTCCCAGTTTCAAAGAAAATAAGTTTAAATTTAAATGCTTCCATTATTTTAACAACTAGAGCCCATTTTCCCCCAAAGAGGACCTACAGTGCATAAGCAACATATTTCAATAAAGCCTTCCTCTTCCTAGTTCCTTGTTTCCTTTTGTTCTAGATACCAGAGCAACTGTAATGTCAATTTTCAAAAGATAGTTGACTGTATTTGTTAACTGTCATCATTTACTTACAAATTCAAAGATGCATGGAGAATGGACAAATCTTTCCTCCCCAGGTATGGTGATTTAACACTTTACTTTTCATTAAAGTCTACCGTTTGCCATTTCTCCATGCCAGAAAATAAAAAGAAACTGTCATAGTACAACCTGACCATAACTTCCTGAAACATAATCTGAAGAGTTAACCCTTGAGTTTCCAAATCCAGTAAAACAGAATCTCTTCCTTTCTCTATGTACATATATTATATATTCATATCATTTTAGAAGGTGCACTATCCTTTTGTTGTTGTTATTGTTCCTTGGGTGTTGTAACATTTTTGGACACCATTATTCAGGGTTCTTAGGGCATTTGCCAGTACAAATATAGAACAATCATAATATCACAACAAGTAAATAAAATGTCAGTGTAGCATATAGGAACCAATTGGAAGGAAATCAAATATACAGTGAAATAACTGGCTAGGATCCTATAATCCCAATAGTGTTCACATTTATTTATTTATTTATTTATTTATTTATTTATTTATTTATTTATTTATTTATTTATTTATTTATTTATTTATTTGCACGCACACCCACACCCACTGCCCAACTTAATGAGAGTTTACTATTCTAGGAGGCGTACACAAGAGAACTGACTCCACAACAAATACCTTTACCAGTCAACGTCAACATAAAATAACGAAATAACATAATTTAAATTAAGAAATGCAAACATCACTATAGTTAGACATTATTACTGAAATTTGAGTGGAAACACACTACTGCTCATATTGCACAAGACTGTGACTAGGTAGCCACCTTGGGCAGGGGTACTCAAGCTAACTTTTGTTAGTGCTATGCAGAAGAAGGCAATGTTAAACTAATGTTGAATTTTTCCTTACCATGAATACCCTATGATGAGACACTCCAAAATGAAACAAGAGATAGTGCTGGAAGTTGTAAGTCCCAGGTCAGAAAGCACTCAGAAAGCTACTGGGGACAAACAAAGGACAATTAAACTACTTGGG